TCATTTTTTCAAAAAGCAGTCTAAGACATGAACATGCACATTAAAATTGAAGACACATTTCAGAAAGGTAGCCATGTTAGTCTGTTTCAGCAAAAACAGCAAGCAGTCTGGTGGCACTTTAAAGACTAACACATTTATTAGGGTATAAGCTTTCGTGGGTTACAACTCGCTTCATCAGTGCTGAAGAGCAAAGAGGAAAAAAAGGGATATAGAGATGGAGTGTGACATTAGTGCTAATTAAATTGAACCTGCAGAATTGTACAGTTGCTTGCATCACTACAGGTGTAATTTTAGGTGTTGCTTTTGAAAACTTGACCCATTATACATCAGTTCTTTAGATCAGACTCACAAGTTAAAATGGTGAAGAGGCAGGTATAAATGCCTAGACAGATGGAAGTAACAGCTAGTTACCTTCTATCATTATACATGAGATAATTATTTAGCAGATTGAGACAAATGCCACCAATGTTGCATAAAAGCTCATCTCCCTCACCAACAAAAGGTGTGATAAAATATATTATTGCACCCACCTTGTGTAGTATCCTGGAACTGTCAAAGCTACAACTATACTGCACATATAATGCTTAGTGGTTATTATTGGGTATAGCTTTCACATTTAATCTTGTTAATGCCCTCAGACTGTATGTCTAGTTAATGTTCTGAAAAACAGTTTCCTAACTGTTTGCTTTCTGGAAAACATTCTTATAGATAACGATGCTGCTAACAGAATACTGAGCCAAGATACAGGAGTTTCTTCAGAAGAATTCAAATCAGTGTCCAAACTTGAAAGTAACAAACAATCAGGAAAATTGAGAGAAACAGACAACCCAGCAAGTGGTTTAAGGTGGTGGCAGAGTTCATACAAGCTTCAGGAAGATGTTTCAGAGCTAGCACACAACAGAACTTGTTTGTCAAGTGGTACAGAAGACCAACCAGGACTAGATGAAGTATGGCCTTCAAAATCTCACCCTCAACTATTCGCTCATTCTCAGACAAGAGACATCATAACACAGCTTCAAGGTGTAACTCCAATAAAACTCTCTCGCCGAGAACTACGGCATATTCCTACATCCGAACTATCATTGAGGCGCTCCAGCCTTGGCGTCGGTGTCAATTCTGTTGCTGCAGATTCCATTGAAATGTCAGGAAAAATCTAATGACTTCAAGAGATAGTTATTCTTTGACACATTTTTAACAACACCATGATACTAGAATTGTTGTATAACATTTCCTTTATTCATGCACTAGTAAACTAACAGACACAGGTAAATGAACTTTTTTCTGTAAATATTGATATTCATAGAACCACAGATTTTAGGAGTCTGTTGCACTTATGCAGTTTCAAAGAATCTGAGATACTTTTTATTGGCACAACCACAAACAGTTGCATGATTACAAAGCTTTTTAGTCCTGAGGAAAAATAAATAAATTCTCTATACTTCTTGTTTTTTCAAATTGTTCTAAAAGTTCCTGCATTTTTCAAACGTTAACTTCAGTGAAGACAGAAGACTATTGAACTATACAAAAATATTTTAAGACAAAGGTAATTTCAGTTTTATGGTTTAAAAATACATTTAGTAATTTGCAAAATATATAGTTTGAAGGTTGGCTTCTGGACCTTCACCTAGTAATTGGCAGTGACTGAATTCCCATTACTCATACTAGCAATCTTAAATAAGATATGCTTGGTATGGGAATCAGGATCTAAAACTAAGTTTGTTCTTCAGAAGGCATATATAAATATTTCCAATATTTATGACTTCAAGTTATTATTATTATTATTATTATTATTATGCAAGTTATATTGAGTGAGCCAAACATGCTGTAAAAAACTGTTTAAAAGTATTTTTTTCTCTACATAAACTTTTTTAAAGCTCTGTGAGAAAAAAGTATTCTGCCTTATTTTTGAAACTGATGTAATTACTTATTTCACTTTCCTTTTTATATTCTTTGTCTGGGCTATTTTTTTAAATAATTGACATATCTAGTTTTGAAGTGTGATGTTTGTGTGCTACTGAAATAGTAAATTATGGGACCAAACATTCAGCATCTTAAGGTAAGCCAGTACAGTGTAATACATTGTTATTATTAATAATGGTCCATAACTTTTCATTTAGAAAGAAATATGAATCATTCTTTTAAAATCCAAATCTACTTCAGACCAAACAGCACACAGATCCATTGGTTTATAACTAGTTTGTTTCCTTCTGGATAATAAGTTGAATAATGTTTTGTAAAAGAACAGTGATCATTCACAAGAAGCTAGTTAGTTGAACTGATTTGCAGACAGAGGCCAAAGTTTTCAAATTTGAATGTGAAAGGTCAGGCACCTGCATTTGTATTTTGGCACCTACGTAAAAGTGACCTGATTTTCAAAGGTAATAAGCATCTCACAGTTAAGTACTTTTGAAAACAGGCCATTTTTATGTAGGCATCTAACTTTAAGCACCCATATTTGAAAACATTGACCTGAATTATTTGTTCAGAACTATTTGCTGCACTTAGCAACAATAAACCCTTCCAGTTTGAACTGAGATTATTTACTGATATACTTTAAGGAATCTTGGATTAAAGCCTCCAGTTCACAGTACATGACCCCTGAAAGAATGAGAACTTAATTTTCCCTTGCTTCAGGCTATTAAAGGCCTGTCCACAGAGCAAATTTTACCATGTCAAAAGATTATGTTGTAACACAATAGTGCTCTGACTGCCTAATAACGCAATTTGTTGAACTTTTCTACATAGATTGCACAAAAATGTATATAACGATATTGATGAACCATTTGGCAGCCCTGTAAAGGTCTATATAATTGTTTCCTTAAAAACTGTAAGCAATTTGCATATTGCTTATAGAATTGTATGGGAATTTGGGGAAAAAGGGATGTGGAGGTTTGGGGAAAAGGTTAAATTAGTTGGTAGTTTTGATTAGAATTTTTTACTGTGTTATAAGTCTAAATAATTGAGTCTTTGCTAATGTTAAATTTTATATTAATGTATTTAATATTTGTAACTTAGTATATGTACCCTAAAGCAATACATGGAAATACAGTAAATGTATTACAAAATTAAAGTCAATTTTTTACATCAAAGTACCAGCTGTAAGGAACACAACTGTTAAAGGCACATACTGAGTCATTATCATATACCTCAAACTATCTTGTCTGTTAGCTTTCATTTAAATAGATATAGAGTGATTTTGCTTTGTATTTTACATATGGAAAAAAACTTTGTTCAGGTGGGCTCAAAAAGCAGACTAAAATATAGGAAAGAATGATTCAAGCTCTAGTGTTGCTAGTAGGGATGTCAGATATCATGTAATGAATAGTTGTGTAACTGCATGAAATCTTAGTGGTTACATGACTATTCGATAGTCCCTGAGGGTGGGGGGGGCAGCCAGTGTGCTCCCAACCCCACTTCCAGGGAGCCCCCTGCCATGTGCTGCTGCCCCTGTATCAGAGGTAGCACATGGGGTGGCAGACGGGAGCTGGTCCGCAAGCGGAGCAAATTTAAAAACCAGCTCCCTGCACAGACCAGCTGCCTGCCACCCAGATCTGCTGTCTCTGATACAGAGGTAGCAGTGCAGGGTGGTAGTAGCCCCTGTCCGTGGGCACGTCCGAGCTTCCCATGGACAAAGGTTGCTCCGTAGCAGCAGCCTTTGATGTGGAGCAGCCTCTGTCCATAGGGAGCTCAGACCCCCTGCAGAGAGGGGCTGCTGTCACAGAAAGCCTCTGTCTGTGAGGAGGTTGGGCCCACCATGGACAGAGGCTGCTTCACATTGTCATCCCATCCCCCTCTCGCTCCATGCTGCTGCCTCTGATAGAGGGTCTGGTGCTGGGGGATCCAGCTTTTAAGCCAGCTTCACCAGCACTGGCTCCCGCCTCTTACAGATCCTTGAAAGTCAGCTCCCCATGCACATTGGCTCCAGCGTTCCCTCCACACTGCTGCCTCTCTATCAGAGGCAGCAGTGCGGGAAATGGTGGGGGAGGCAGGTGGATCCAGTGCTCATGGGGAGCCAGCTTTTAAGTTATCTCCTCATGGACACCCGCTCCTGCTCCATACCCCTCCTCCCCCGCTGCCTCTGATATAGTAATAGTAGTCACCTACATGATGACATTTTATCTTTAGTCACAAGATGGTCTGTGAATTTCTGTAGGAATAGATGGGAGAATTATTTAGTTACCCAAGTACTAGCAAATTTACCCATGTGGCTGTGATCATTAAGGAGGAGCTTAGGGCAGGAGGGTGTGGGGGGTGCAATAGTCAGGGCAGGGACTTGGGGATATGAGGGTGTGCAGGAGTCAGGGTTGGGGGGATGAAAAGAGGCTCAGGGCAGGGAGTGGGAGTTGTATAAACAGACAGCATTTTAACCAAGCAGTATACAACTTATTTTGAAATGTTTTAAATCACATAATACGAAGATTGGTAAAAGCCTGCAATATATAGGAATGTAGGTTTTCAGTAAATATTGGTAGCAAAAAATTATACTAAAGATGAAATAGTAGTAAATTTCTTTCCAAGAGCTAAATTTGACAATGAATCATTACTGAGAGATGATGTAGTGCAAAAGGCCAGGCAAGATATTTGCCCCTGAACAGAGGGAGAGAATGTGGCATTGGAAATAGTCTTGATGTCTCAGATATTTGAGGAAACAGCTTGACAAAATGCTTAAGATGTAAGCATTCCTTGGTTTCGGTAACCGGGTTTGGTTCTTTAAAGGATTTGAAACCACAGACAGAGGAATACTTCTTTTTAGGGTCATACAAAAATTTTTCTTTTTCTTTTTACTTTATTATTAATTTTTCATTTAAATCATTTTATTATCTTTGATTCTTTTAAGACAGTGTAATATACAAATAAAAAGTAGAAAAACAGTAGAGTTAAAAAATAAGAAATAATAACTCCTCCTACAGATATATCCTCCAGATTTACCTTTAAACAATTTGTGGAGTTATCAAATATATAATACTCACGTTAAGAAAAATAGAAGGATTGTTTAGATTCAATTGAGATATTCTTTTCTTTATGTTTCTCCTTTTTTTGATTTTTTGTTGCAACTTACGACTGGTGTTGTTCCCCTTTTGGAGCTTCTGTGCGGCAGCAAGATTCAGTGCCGGGGAGGGAGCCCTGGTTGATCAGACCTAGCTTTTTGGATTCGCAACCCGTCCGTTCTTGGTCTGTTCCGTTCTACCTTATATACCCTTTTTCGGTATCTCAGTATTCCTCCACTCACCTGACAATTGCTGACATTAGATTTTTGTTGTCTCATTCTGCCCTTTCAAAACTTTTGTCTGCTCTATTTGGGGTAATCAGCCACTTTGTTGCATATTGCTGTCTGTGTTAGTTACTTCCCTAAAAACGGGGTTACTGTTGGTCATCCAATCAAATTTTGTTTTTATTTTACATCTCCTGTATCTCACAATGCTGCCTTTCCTTTACACTTACAATTAAACTGGTGCTCATTTGACATATTCTGGGTAGGCCTCAACACCTCCCTTTCATACTTGGCTTACATTACTAGACCTACATGATTTGTAAAGTAAGGCTAGGTTGTTAGGCATTATGAAATCAAAACTGAGTACTTGCTTTTATTTTCTCTCCATTTTCCAGTTAACATAAATTGTGGTTGTGATATTTTTTATTTTATGTTACATAACAGCCTCAATTGTAGTTAAGGGAATGTTTGATGAGGCAGTCTTGCACAGAAGGAAGGAATATTTTTGTGTTTTGAAAGCACTCCAGATGGTAGCAGATCATTTCCTAGTTCTTCCAGAAATTTTTATTTTGTAAATCTTGTATGTAACTGTGTGCCTCAATTTTTCATTTGTAAAATGATATGTTCTCTTTAGAAAGTAAACTTTTGGGCTAGAAATTGTCCTTACTATGTATTTGAGGAACACTTACCATAGAGTTGCTAACTTTATAATCACTCAAAACTGAACATCCTTGTGATCATCCCTGATTGCACCACTCCCTCTTCTTCTGTTGCTTGTTCTTCCCCACCTTTTCATGGGGGTAGGACAGAAGGCTGGGGTGCAGAAAGGGATATGTGCTTTGAGTTGGAGGTGCAAGCCCAGGAATGAGGGGTTCAGAGTGCAAGAGAGTGCTCCAGACTGGGACAAGGGGTTAGGTGTAGGGGGAAAGTGAGGGCTCTGGCTGACGATGAGGGATTTGTAGTGCAGAAAGGGTCTCTCACATGGGGCCAACAGGATCTAAGGATGGGAGGGGGTAGGGGCTGTGGCTGGAGGCTCTGTAGTAGAATGAGGAGTGTAGGAGGGGCCTGTGAGGCTTGGTGTTCAAGAGGTGACTACAGCCTGGGGAAGAGAGATGGGGTGTAGGATCCTGGTGATAATCCACAGTTTGCAGGAAGCAGCATCAAGATCCCAGCAATCCATAGATAAATGGGTGGCCAGAGAAAATCCATGCACTGCCTTCATGTCCACAGGTGCTGTATTCCGCAGTTCCCATTGGTCATGGTTCTTGGCCAATGGGAAATGTGGAACAGGCCATTTGGATGAAGTAGTGTGCAGAGCCCCTAGTTCCCGGCTGCTCCACATGCCTAGGTTCCACAGGGACCTGGTAGATGCTTCCAGGAGCAGCTTAGAGCCAGGCCAGCAGACAGCCTGCTTTAGCCCCAGCTGCCCTGCTCCACCACCATGGTCCCTTTTTTCACTTGCTTTGGAGGCATAGCCAAGTTAAGTTTGTAACTGGAAAAATTTGAAAAACAACCAATAGTCTAGCAGCACCTTAAAGACTAACAAAACACATGGATGGTATCCTGAGCTTTCATGGGTATAACCCACTTCTTCAGATGAATGGTGTATTAAAAGTCCAGATCAAAAAATAAATAGGGGATGGGGGAGGGAAAGGAAGAGAAAAAATAGTGAATTAGTGTTCAAGTTTCTTGTAATTTGAACACTCTAATTCATTACTTCCTTCCCCACTCTCCTTTTTACCTAGCATTCACGGTCAGTGGGTGATCCCCCGGCTGGCTGCAGAAAGCCAGGAGGCAGTGTCGCCATAGCCTGCCCCCTAGCTCTAGAGAGGAGAGCAAGGAGGTATGGATCCAGCCTCCCTGGGACATGTCTGCAGGTTGGATACCACCTACTCCCCTGCAGCTGAGCTACCAGCCTCAGTACTTGAAAGACAGGCAGTGGCAGTACAACCCTGCCTGCCTCTGCCACTGCAACAGTAGTCTGGGGGATTGCAGTGGAGCACAGGCAGGGTCAGGTGAAGTAGTTTGGGAAGGAAGTGCCTCCCCCTGCCTATGATATCCATGAAGGTTGCCTAGCAACTAGAGTACTAGAACAACAGGATGAAGTCTTAGAGGGGTAGACCAGGTAAATCTAACTACAAGAGAGTCATCTTGTTGCACCTTAGAGATTAACAGATGTATTATGTGATGAGCTTTTTGTGGGTAAAATCCTCTTCGTCAGATAAGGTGGAGTGGAAATAACAGAATCCCGGGTCTAGATCAGTGTTTTTCAACCTTTTTTTTTTTAAATAAAGTATCCCTTTAAAAAAATATTTATAAGTACCTACAGTTTTCAGATACACTTTTTTTATACCATTGCAACATATTTATTGAAACAACTTAATTGTAGCAGGGTGGATAATGACTTTTTGGGTGTAAGAAGTACAAAATAATAAAACGCTGTAAAGCTTAACAAAAATTCACTTTTCTCCAAATTTCAGTTGTTAGTGTATCCCCCAGACTTCTCTCTTGTACCTCATGGGTACCTAGAAACACTGGTCTAGATAACAGTTACCTGCACAGTGGTCCTACACTTGAAAGGAAAATTCTTTTGCTGTTATCTGTACCCAGGATTGTGTAATCTCAGCAGGCAGTTTCCCACCCAGTCCCCTGCCACCATTGCCCTTTTTGCAAAAATGTGGGAAAGGGGTGGAGGTGGAGGTGGGGGTGGGGTAGCCGCCCGTACTTCACGTAATTCCCCCCCGAGAAGTGGACCTCAGAGACAGGCGGCGCGAGCTTCATCCTCTTCGCTACCACCTGTTCTCCAAGCCGCCTACGGCAGAATTTTAAGCATTTTGAGCCAGCCCAGCATCCGTATCCCCTCTCCATGGTTGCGTCACACGTCGTTTTTATTGCGCACGCGCGGGCGCGGCGGAATCAGCCAATCAACGAACCAGGTAAATAAACAAACCCGCGAGCGAAAAACGCCCCCCCTCCCTTCGCTATCGCGGCACGAGCTTCTCCGCAACAGTCCGGCCCGGTGTCGCAGGAGCCGTTATTACCACCTGTTAGCAGACAATAGTGACACTGACAGCTGCTCCGCGGCCGGGCACAGAGCCGTCCTGGAGAAGGAGTGAGTGCTGCGGCCCCAGAGTGTGTCCGTCCGCTCGCCTGCTCTGCAGGCCCCCCAAGCTGCCCCATCGCGACCCTTCACTCCCTCCCCCCGCCGTAGAAGATGAGTATCCCGCAGCCCCTTCCCCCGACCGACAGCCTCCCGCCAGGAGGAGGGGCGGGCTGGATGGGACGTTGCCCCTGCCTCAGTGGGGCCTGCTGGATGGGGAGTTACTGGCGAAGGAGCCGTTGTTGGCGCTCACCGCTGCCCTTGCGCCAGGCTCATGGGAGTGTCGGGATCTGCTGCTGCCGCCGCTCAGGCGGGGGCTGCGGCCGCCAAGCGCTGACGGCCGCTGCAGCCAGGCGAGCCTGTTCCCTCTCCCCCCCGTCCCGGAGCCGCGGGCAGCTAAACCCTTGCGGCGCTAGCGCGGGCGGCTCGGGAGAGGAGCTCCCCCTCCCGCGGGTCCCGTCGGGGAGCGCCCTGGAGTTCAGCCTCCGCTGGCCCGTTCCCCTGCTGCCTCTAGTTCCCCTCTCTTGAAAACGGCGGCTCTTCCCAGCGTTTCGGCTGCCGCGTGACCCCCTGCTTGGCCCAGCTCTGCCTGCAACGCGGCGCCCCAGCATAAGTCCGACGAGCCCCTGGTCTGCACGTTCCCTGTGTAACTGAAACCTCGCCTGTCTGCGGCCTTTTCCTAACGCTTGAGCCGCCAAGTCCCCTTCGTCACTGCCCACGGAAAAACACTCACTTCTTTCTTTAAACAATTCTAGCTGCGCTTGTTTTTAAAGAAAAGAATGAGACACATTTCTAATTTTGCGCTTGAGATTTTGCTTGGTCATAGTCCTCAGTGAGCATTCATGCCTCTGCTTGGCTGGCAAAAAGAGTTTGGATTTACCCCAGATATAAATATTAGAGTTGTTTGGCATGTGTGTGGTAAAGGAGTAGTGCATGGATGCATGCTAGGTTGAGTGTGACCTTTCAAAATAGATCTAAACAGCTTTAAAATTTAACAAACTGGTTTTCTTCATTTTTGGTTGATTTTTTTTCAGTCCCAATGACATATCCTAAACAAATCCTGTGTTAAGGAATACTTTTCAGGTGGTTTGAATTTTCAGTCCCAATGACATATCCTAAAACAAATCCTGTGTTAAGGAACACTTTTCTGGTCGTTTGAAATCTATGAATATTTAAGATATTAATGATATAAGATATCAGAGTCCTGAACTAAGAGAACATAACCAACTCCAACTTGTACTACTAATCATCCCTTGGCCAAATACCACTTTCTAACCACTTACATGGTATCTGCTGGCATTTTTTCCATTTTAAACCTAAAACCTTTAGATCTGTTTAAACTATTTAATACTGAGGCTCCAATCCTGCAGCAAGCTGTACAGAGGTGGATCTCTAAAACCAGACTCTTTTGGATTTAGTTCAGCTCTGTGTGGATGCACAGGTACACCTGCATAGAGCTCATTGCAGAATTTAAGCTTAAGAATTTATAGGTTTAGTCTGTTTAAGCTACTCTAGAGATTGAGTGGTTTCAACTACTTAATGCAGATTTAAAGACTGATAAAACTTCAGGGGGAAAAAGGGAGGTGGTTTAAAAGGAGAAGAGTGCTGGTCAAACGGCAGGCAGTGCTTTTCTTGAGCTACACAGTTGTATGAATGCACAGATAAGGGAATGTGCATGAGATCTGCTGTAATAAGATATATTGAACTTTGGCAGTTTGATGCTTCCTATTTACTAATGAGGATGATCAATGCCTCTTAGTCTTTGACAGGTGAGTGTTAGAGAATTCAGGACTTTTATTTTGAAACAAAACCAAAAAATGCCTTAGGTATATACACATTGGAAACAAAATGTAAAAAACTTGTGTTCCTGGACAGTTACTGTTGCACAAAGTACCTAAGACAAGAGAAGTGAAAGGGTTGTAACCATCTTTTTACACATGCATTTGAGCCTATCACACATGACCATAGCTACTCGTGTATTTCCATTTGTAAAAACTAGGGCTATCAATTGATGTGCATTAACGCCTGCACTTAACACCAGGCAGGATTAACACATTAATTTTTTAACGTGTTAATCTCAGCGTTAATGCTGCACTGCCCCTTTGAAATACTACCAGGCCACCTCAAAGAGGCAGCTCATTAGGAGCCTGAGATCAGCTGGAGTTCCCAACTGACCCCCGGGGCTCTGTGCAGTGCTGCCCCTTTGAAGTGCTGAAGTGGCATTTCAAAGGGGCAGTGCAACATGGAGCCTGGTGTCAGCTGGGCACTCCAGTTGATCTCAGGCTCCTAATGAGCTGCCTCTTTGAGGTGCTTGGGTGGCGTTTCCAAGGGAGCAGGGCAACATGTAGCCCAGGATCAGCTGGAGTGCCCAGCTGATCCCCAGCTCTTTGTTGAGCTGCCCCTTGGAAACACTGCCCTGGCATTTCAAAGGGGCAGCGTTGCACAGAGCCCGAGGTCAGCTGAGCACTCCAGCTGATCCTGGGCTCCCGTGGTGCTGCCCCTTGGAAACGCCAGGGCAGCTTTTCCAAGGGGCAGCGCTGAAGGCAGTTGGGGTCAGCTGGGGACTCCACCTGATCCCGGGCTCCTGCGATGCTGCCCCTTCGAAATACCGCCACAACGTTTCAAAGGAGCAGTGTGTGCGATTAATCACAATTAAATGTTTTAATTGTTTGACAGCCCTAGAAAAAACTGCTATGCTATATGTCAGTAATAGTATGTCATTATGGTAAAGAATATTTTGATAGCTTGGAAATGTGAGTTTGCATTACTTAACACTGCACACTTAAAAATAAACCTGCTTTTCAAAAGTGATAGTATTTTTGAGTGTCTTAATTTTTGACTACCCAGATATGACAACTTGAAGGAGCTTGATGGTCAGAAGCTGCTGTGCGTTGTATGAAAATGAGGCCCTTTTATGGAGTCTTAAGAAGAGCATCCAAAAATCACTTGTTACTTTAAGAAAATCTTGACCAAAATGGCTAACTTCAGTTTGGCTGGATCAAAAATAAGCTGTTTTTAAATGGTAGTTTCTATTCTTGCATTATTACATTTGCTGTAAAAAAAACAACAAAAACAAAAAACAAAAAAACCCCAAACAAACCTTTAAAATATTATGAAGGAGGAAATAAGACTGATCACTAGGAATAAATATCTAACATTTACAATATACTTCAGGAAATAAAACAATTCTAATTATGATGGTTACAAATTTGCTGTCTGCCTACTTAGTATCAGCCCACTTATACAAAAATGTAAAAGGATACTGCCATGGGTATTTTTCATACATTTTTAAGTGTGTCCTTTTCATAGATGCTCAGATGTTTGAAATTTAAATCTGTGGCCTTAACATTTCTGCCACAAGATGGTTTGTTATGGTGCTGTTCAGGAGTTTTCAGATATGTCTACTTTTAACGGAAAGTGTGTTTATATATAAATAAATTTAATGACTTTGTAAATGAATAAGAAGGGAAGAGGGCTATATTTTGGATCTACTATTATTGTTTCCCTGAAACACATTATAAATGTGGTGCTCTCTTATAAGCTACTGTGTTTGTTGATCTTTAGACATAAAAATACTCTTAATACTGAGTCATATCCATGGTAATTTGAACTATCCAACATAGATATGCAGCATTTTTCCATTCAGAAACCCTTCTAATGTAACCATATGAAGGGCATAAATGCATTCCCATCTGGAGATGGGAACAATAAAAAATTAATATGAGGGAGAAAAGATTTCTGTTAGGAATGGTTTATCTAAAAAAAATAGACACTGATTACTATACTTACTTTTGAAGTAAATAAATACTTCAGTCAGTGCTATTGGAGGTTGTTGAGATGAGTTCCAAACTAACAAGTCATCCAGATACAGGCTTTAGGGATGTGAAAGGTTAACTGGTAAGCATCACCCTTAACAGGTGATACTTAACAGTTAACTGGCACCTGTCATGGGAAAGGGGCTGCGCCTGCCCTGCGGGAGGCTCACTGCACACTGGATACTCTGGTCATCTGAAGCAGCTTCTGTCTGCCGCAGGCCTAGGCGCCGTGCATGCAGGGGCTGTTCCAACTGCTTTTGCGGCAGGAGGACTGCTTCAGCCTGGTCTTGGCAGGCACACCTCCACATAATGTTTAACTGGTTAATCAATTAGGTGGGATTTTACACCCCCATTATAGTTAGGCTGCCACCTTAAGTGAGTTGCCACCAGTATCTGACATTTTGAGAACTTAAATCCAGGACAGTTATTTGAAACTTGAGCTTTCTAATTCAGGAATTTAACTGAGATCCAAACTAGCCTCTGATTTTTTTGGAGAATCAAAATTTTTCTAATAGGAACCCCTTTTCTCCTTATATTATTTTTCTCAGCCCCAGAAGAGAATGCATTTAAACTGTTCATATGGTCTCATGAGAATGATCACTGAAGAGGGGTTAGGTGACAGCATAGTGTGGAAAAGAACTGCATTATTTGTTGGATTTGACACAAGGAAAAACATTCCTTACAGAGCACAGATACCTAAATACATGCAGAACTATACTGTATGAGAATTCTGATCAGCACATGGTTTCTTACATTGCTCCCTGACCCTTGAGACTTTCAGCCATTTAGGATACTCCTTTTGGTTGACTGAGAATAAAACCTTTGTAAAACTATTTAGCTGAGCTTTATGTTCTACATGTGGAAGACACTTTTCTTGTTAATAGAACATAAAAAGATGTTCACTTAACTCAAGTAATGGAATCATAGGCACTTTATTCAGATGGGAATAATCTCTGCCCTTTCCAGCCTCTTCCATAGTGATCATCTCAGATGTCTTCAAAATTTTAGCAGAAAGGAATTGAATTTGGAGTGAAGCCCCTGGGGAGGAGGGGGTGTAGAATACCATTCAAGGGTGTGACACAGATGGGGCCTGGACCTGTTCCCCACAGAGTGTGGAGGGCATGCTGCCCAGCTCTACTCCTGACCCGGGTCCCAGCTGCCAGTCCCATTGGTTTACCCAGGGGTGGGCAATAGTTT